CTGCCTCCTGTCCTCCATGCACCACTGAAAAGGTGCAAAAACTCTGCAGGGTCACAGCTGACCTCAAATCACAGACACACAGAGCCATGCTCTGGATGGATCTCTGCTTGTACCCTGCAGGCAGAATGTGATGGAGAATGAAGCAGGCAGAGGAGTTTTAGCAGGAGGACTTCAACTGTTCTTGTACCTTCTTTGTTCCAAGCAGTTGTAGTGAGTTGTCTTGGAACATAGCGATGAGTCTATGGGAGCCAAAACTGGTCCTTTTTATCCAAAGAACTTTGTTCTTACATTTTTTTTTCAATTAGTAGAGCCTCTACAAGAAAACTTAGACTGAGTAGAGCTTCCTTTTCAAGTAGTGAAAGTCAACACAATGTTCTGAAATCACAGCGAATATCACATTCCTGACAGCTTGATGGCATCTCCAGATGCTGAGATGAAATGATGCAGAGGAGCATAGATTATCTCATAAATATCTGCACTGATCCCAAATGGTCCCAAAGGAGAAAGGCGTTCTGTCTTATGAGGACTTTACAGTGTTGTTCTCTACTCCCCCAAGAGATGCGTCTGCCTATGAGCACTGTGCAAATAAAAAGCACCCTTTACAGAAAGGATCCTTCTTTTAGCTCTGCAGCTGAAACTCCTGAGTGATCTTGTTCACGTCTTAGACACCAGAAAAACCTTTGTGGCATAAAGCTTTATGTTCATATAGCACCTCTAGGACAGCTTTTCAGGAGAGGCCTGTGTGTGGTTCCCTAGTAAAAATAATGAGTGAATAATCATTGGCAGTATACATGCAAATTGGCTTTCCAAAGCATGGAGCCACAAGACAAAGTTTATCAATCAAGGCCACCAAAGCAATTGTGAGCAGTCCCCGGAGAATTAATCCTTCAAGAATGTGTGAAATCAATCTGGCAGGCTCTGAAATACACAGTCCAGTTGCTTATGTCCATACAAATATTCACCCTCTCACCATGGAGGCACTGAGGAGTGCAGATTAAAAGGACTGTTTCAGGACTGAAACAGTCATTCTGCAGAAAGAAGCCAAGTAAAGACTGATAATTATTTTATCTGTGCTGAACAACATTGTAAGCAAATTGCACATAATTATGACAAAATACCATCAACAACATGACAGTCTCCTGTTGTTTGCTGGGGCATTTGGCACACAGCACTGCCGAGTCAAATGTTTGTTCCCTTTCTGATGATTGGTGTTTGTTTTTTTGTCTGTTGCTTTGATTCATAGTCTTGCTTCAATAAAGACTTTCTATACTGTCGTTGTCTACAGTGTTCACTGATTTACGCCAGAGAACTGAACTTCAGCAGCCAGTCTTATGTTCATTCCTCACTGCAGGGACTGTTCCCTGTCAGAAGCTCTTCCCATTGCTTGGAAAGAGGAGACAAATGAGCCGAACCAGTGATATCCCTGAGGGAACGGGGTATACACCCTGGGATGAAGGACAGGCAGAGATCCCTCCTCACAGGAGCAGAAGATGTTTGCTGCAAGGACATGCTGGCAAACTTGTGCTATCAGACTCAGCTTTTGACACTCATGGCCTGGACTTACTTGGGTTTTTTGCACCACTGCTAAACCACGTGGTCTTTTGGGGGATTGATGCCTTGTCCCTGTTTTGACCTTGCCAACAAGACCCCTTTTGTTGCCTCTGGTGGCAGATGGCAAAAGTTCCTTGTAAGGAGGTGCTGGACAGTGAGATGATCTCATCTCGTTTGACTAGTCTAAATCAAATGCAGATGAACTCCAGAGGCTTTTGAAGCTTATAAAATTTGGGCAAAACAAAGGGCTTCAGATTTTATATTGCTTGCTTTGCAAAGTTATCCTGCAGTAAGATAAAGCTAAAAAAATGGGCAACACAACTGCAAATGAAATCTAAAACTGACAAATGCAGCATAGTTCAGAAAGAAAGTCACAAGAATGACTAAACAGAGCTAACAGTGTTAAAGCAGCTTGTTCACAATTTGCCTTGCAGGTGTAGCTCCTGCCCACAGGAAAAAAAAAAAGCTTTAAAAATATGCAGTATATACTTAGCAACTGATCCTTGAGAAACAAGCCAGTCCTTAATATCTTCCACATTTGGAAATAGAGGTCTTTCAATCGAGAAAGCCATCAGAAAGCAGGGGATTAATTAAGTACAAATTCTGTCTGAGCTTCTCCTTTTCCCGATCAGAAATTTTGTTCAGAAATGAGACCTGGTTGTGGCATTGGTCTTAGGACCCTATGCTTTTGTGTCAGCCCATCCTGAGGAGCAGAACAAAGAGTCACAGCACACACTTGGCTTAGCTCTGCAGAAGAAGTGCTGGTATGAGCAGATGTTCGGCAGGCTTCAAGTGCACTGGAGTGCAGCATTTAAGGCCTTAAACTTTTGGAGAGCTGAAGGATGAAAAGGGGAGGCAGGAGGTGGACAGGGTTTGATAGCATCCCTGCTGCCTGCCTCCCTGATGGGGAGTGCCTGCTGTACGGTGCTGGCTGTGCGGGCATACAGACCCCTCGCGCACCACGCCTCTGCTTTTGAGGTCAAGCCACAGGAGATCTGAGTGGAAATAAAGGGGAGACTGAAAAACAATGCGATGCATGGAGTTTTTTCAGTGGCTAGAACAAAGGCTGCTGTTTCTCCGACAAGGCAATGAGCCCTCTAGAGGCGGCTGCAACCAGAGCAACCCCTACCATGATGGTGAACCATGGAGGAAGAGCCCAGCCTGGAGTCCCACGCCTTTGCAAATTCTCCAAGCCCCGCTCCCTCTCCCACAGCCCTTCTCTCTATCCCAGCCCGCCGGCGCCCATCCCTGTCCCCTGGTAGTTACTCCCACTTAAGTCAGTCGGCAGGAGAAGTCCTGGGGAAAGGAGCTGCAGCTGGGCACAGAGACAGCAGCATTTAAGCCACTTTAAAAAGTTTGCAAAAAAAGTTTGTCTGCTAGTACATGATGTATAGACAACTGACCAATCCTCATCCTACATAGCATTTCTTTAAGGACGTGACAGGAATTGAGGAAAATGTCTTCTCAGCTACACAGTAATCCTTTCAGAGTCAAACTGTGCTCAGGATGCATCTAATCACAATCCAGCCAGTCTCTGGTAAGAGTTGTTGGGTGCAGCAAGCACAACCATCTCTCCATGCCTGCAGGAATGGCCAGGGCATTGTTTCCTCCTTAGTGCTTCCCCCTGAAGAGTGAGAAGGGAGTGAATAACAGCAGAAAACTACTGGGGAACAGTAGTGAAGGTACATGGTGTCAAGCAGGCTACAGGGTAGCTTCAAACATAAAAGGGGATTAATTCCTTACTGTCAATGGTTTAATTGAAATCTCAGACTCAAGCATGTTCTATCCTGGAAAATAAAGTGGATACTGTCGGAATGCAATGATTTTAACCAGGCTGGTTTTCCAAGGGCTGCTGAAGCTGTGAAGCTGACTCATCTCTGGCTCCTCTGTGTGTGAAGCAGTAGGCGGGAGGCTCGATGTGCAGCCTCCCTGGAGCAGGGGCTGCGACTGGGGTCGTGACCGTATGCTGGTTGTGTTTTATCACTCTTGCTTCATTTTCAACGATTTGGAACTTGTCAAAAGCAGCAGTTTAGTCTATAAGAGAAGTCGTTCAGGCTTTGAAAAAACCCTCCAGGCACTTCTGTACACCTGTCTTTACAAGAAAAAACCTTTCTGCAATCCCCCTGAGAAATGTATTATGTACCACTTGTGGGCATTCAGCTTGGTCTGGAGAAGTGCCCTGCATCTGTTCTCTGCTTTCTCTTCAAAGCTCTGAGTGATACCTATCTATCCAGCTATCAAACCACAATTTCTACAAAAGGAGAACCTTTCATTTTTTATCCCTGTTTCCTCAAAAAAACTTATGCTGTAAGATCAGCATTAAAGGGCTTAACACCTTAAGCCCCTCATGACGATGTCTGTGGCATTAATTGCTGGATGATCTTGCTCCAGTGGTCTGCAAGACACAACAGCAAAATGTTTTCGGGATTTCTCTTCTGAAATATCTAAGTCTACTATTAGTATTCCCTATGTCCTTACTTTTCTTGACTAGATCTTAATTAAAAAGCTAATAAAATGCCATAATTTGATTAAGAGACAGTGATAATTTAAAACATGCAGTTAATTTCTTTGCACCGCTCTCAGGTTCATCCATCTCTCTCAGGCAGAGGAAAAAAAGCAAATAAGAAGCTCCAATGTTACACAGAATTACCTCTTATTATATAAGCCTCTCACAAGATATTTGTGGGATAATATGAAAAATAGCATGTATTAATCTCTTATTTACAGTTTAATTTATTGTGCACATTATTTTTAAAGGTGTGATAGGTGGTTTAATTCAACTAAGAATATATGTTAGCTAGCCCTTACCTGGCTGCTTTTGGAAGGAATTCAAGGGAGGTGTTCTTGATGTATTTTTTTTTCCCTTTCCAAATGGAGGCAAGAATTAGATGCATATATTCTCAAAAAGAATGCAAACATATAGTTTAATTTAATATCTTTGTTAATTTTTTTTTGTAAACTAATAAGCCTTTTGGAATTAGCATTTTTAAGTGACTTAAGCCTACAGATTGATGCTTGGGCTGACATGTTAGCAAGGCAGGGGAGGGACAATTTATTCTTGGAAGTCTGTGACAGAATTGATGTAAAGCCTAAAAAAGATGTTTCTTTTATAAAGATGTTGATGCTGTATAGGCAACAGTCCACACATTTCATCTGCTTGTTATGTTGTTGGTCTCTCACAAGCTCCAAACCCCCACTGCTGTAAGCAGTAGTAACAGCAATCCCTAGCCCACTTAGCATCATTTGCCTAAACACTTGTAATGCAGCCCAGCCCTAGACTGGAAAGCAAATAGCTGGCTGATTTTTTCCCCTTGACTTTGAACTTTTGGCCAACAAAAACCTTGGTTTTCTGCATGCGTTTTTTGGTGGTGGGGAGAAAGTTCCAGTTTAGCCAATGCCATCTTGAAGAAACAAAAAATTCACTTTTTAATGTTGACTTTGTCTTTCAGGCTACAGAACTCCGAAGATCAGGATGAAATTTTGTCTCAGCGATGAGTAGAAAATAATAACTTGTGTCTTGTCAAGCTGGTCTCCTGTCTCCTTTGACAACTCAGCCTTTGGTGGCTGCAGTGGCTGTGTCATAAACCCCTTGGACCAGCCCATTAGAAGGAAAAGAACACAGACTTGGAAGCATCCTCTGTCTTCCTCTGAAAGCATCTGGGCATTTTAACCTGTCTTTGGGTACCATTTTGCAGTCAGATGAAGAGTTCCTGCCCTTTTTTTTTGTAATTAGGGAGAGACTGGGTCTGATGCCTTTCTGGTGGTTGTTTGGTATTCAGGGAAAGAATTTTCCTCTTGTCATGGCTATCTGGTCAGTGCTGAAGTTTCATTGGTTTTTTTCCTGAATCCACATATCAAGTAAGAAAATTTATAATTCATGTTATTACAACTGGCTGGTGCCTAGTAGAAGGGACTGGTTTCCCAGCAGGCTGGCTGGGGAAAGAGGAAGAGCACAGTCACAAAACATTTTCCTTAAACGAGTTAAAATTTCCCATGTTTCAGCTTGTGTCTGCTGTCCCCTTACAGCATGCAGTTCCAATAAGAGCTTTGTTCTGTATTTCAGCAGGTCTCCCTTTATCCTCTCCCCTTTTGGCTGAACATGCCCAGCTCTCTCAGCTTCTCCTCCTACAGCACGTGCTCCAGCCTCGTGGTGGCTCTCTGCTAGACTGGCTCCAGATTGTTGATGTTTTTCCTGTACTGCAGAGGCCAAAAGTGTATAGAACACCTCAGCTGTGGTCTCTCAATTGCAGAGGACAGGGAAATAATCATGTCATCATTCTTGCTAATGCAGCCTGCCATGCAGTTGGCCTTCCTTCCTGCAAAGATGCATTGCTGGTTCGTGTTCAACTTGATGTTCACCAAGACCTCCAGATCTTACCTGGCTTTCCTGTCAGAGCTCAGCCTGTCCTGTGCATGGGGTTATTTCTCACCAGGGCAGGGCTTGGTGCTTCCCTTGGTTGAACTTCACAAGGTTCATCTTGGCCCAGCCATTTCTCCGGCCTGATCTCCAGCATATCGACTGCCTTCCTGTTGACATTGCCTGAAAACCTGCAGAGAGAACACTCATTCCCCTTATCCAGTTCCTTATACAGACACTACACAATACTGGTGCTGGTAGGGACCTCTGAGGTACTCTACAAGGAACTGGCTGACATTTGCAATTCAGACCCATAATCGCCACCCTTGGAGCCTGGGGGTTCAGAAGATTTTCTACCCAGCTTTTTGTCCCCTCATTCAGTCCACCTCTCACAAATTTCCTTACAAATTTGACTTCTAGAAGAAGGTGTGGACTAAGTTAGGACTTAAAATAACCCTTTGGGTTCATACGAAACATTTCTTTGGCTTGAGCAATGAATAAATAAATTGTGGTGCCAACTTATGCTAAAATCTTATTTTGTGGATTGTAAAATTGCTGCCATTTCCCACACAGATCTGCCAAATAACCCATAGAAAAAAAATATGGGGAAATAGAAAGCATTTCATATAGGCTGGCTGTTGAAAGAAGACTTACATAACTCCTGTGTCAGACTGAGGCTCGACCTAGTAATTTTAAAAACATTAGATTCATTCAAAGGATAATGAATCCATGAGCTAATCTCGGATGTCAAGCTATCACTATTATTTGATATACAACTGCCAAATGTGTATAAACAGAGTTGTTATTGTCTTTAGTTACTGTTTGTGGAATATTCCCTGCAGCGTATGTGCATTACTTTTTAATTTTTGGAAATATGACATCTTGTTCTTTCTATGTGATTTGTAATAATTAGTTTCATTGTTCCTTTTCTAAGAATACCTGCTGTAATTATCTCTCCGTGGTAAGGTGGAAGAAAGGATGACCACAGAAATAAGTGATATTAAGGAAAGATATAAACATTAAAAGTTACAAAACCATAAAGAACAATTCCTCATAACTAATTTCTTCCAGAATATTTCAGAATTATTTTTATCTCCCTTGGGTGTTATTCTTTTTGATGTCACTGTGTTATGTATAAAATCAACACTTTCAGAAAGGGGACCTGTGAATTTAGAAGACATTATTTCAGGTGCTGAAACTGAATAATTTTGCTGGAAGCTGGATTTGAAAGGGTGATGATTGTTATCACTCTCTAGCAACTATTTACACTCCCAGATTCCATGGAATTTTTGAAAATAGTGGTTACAGATCCCTTGTGGTACATGGAGTCCAAGCTACCAAGGTCATAAATGGAGCTGTTACCCAGTGGTGCTGGGCATGTTCAGTAAATGTGTGGTACATGGAGTCCAAGCTACCAAGGTCATAAATGGAGCTGTTACCCTTTCTCCACACATTAAGCCCCTACAGTGGTGCTGGGCATGTTCAGTAAATTCACATCTGACTTTCACTCTTTGGCTGAAGTGTTCTAACACTGAAGGACCCAGGCTCTGAATTTCAGAGATCACTGAATGGGAATCAGAAGCTGTCCTTTTTGTGCTTGGGCTCATGGGCTATGAATAGAATAAGCAGTTCCTCTAAGGCTCACTGTGCTCTGCAAGGGCCACATGCATGGTGAAATCCCCAAGCTGCTCAGCTTGTGAAGACCAGTGTGACACACTGCATCTTCCAGGCCAGGCTGGATGAGGCTCTGAGCAACCTGATCTGGTGAAAAGTATTCCTGCTCGCAGGCAGGTGGAACAAGATGATCTTTAAGGTTCCTTCCAACCCCAACCGTTGTACGATCTCTGCTTGCCCACCTTCTTCAGGCATCTGTTGCCCAGTGAAGACATAGCTGAAAAAAAATTAAATTGTTAAGTCTGGAGCAGGCTAAAAGTATATGAAGAACTGGAAATGCACTAAAACCCAAACACAAAAAGGGAAGGAAAATTAGTTTAGTCATGGGGTTTCAAATTTCAAAGACATCATCTCTACTGCACCGGCAGTGGATGGGTGAATTTCCCCCAAACTAGATGCAGAGATATGTGCTAATTTTCTACAGCAAAAAAGATAGGTCAATAGCAGACCCAGAACCTAAATATAGATGCTTCTACACTTAGTTACTATGTAATGCAGCTTGTGATGGTTGCCAGAGAAACCCATTTATGCTCTTGAATAAGGTTGTGCTCTCCCTGCTTTATCCTCTCCCACATAATGAACATTTTAAAGTGGTTTAGTACAGAATTGAACTATGGTGAATGCACTGCATACAGAGGCAGTAAGTGTTTAGATGTCAGCTGTGTATGTGTATTTTTCTATTTTGGGACACAGTGAAACAGCTCAAGGTATCTCTCTATAGTGCTGGAGAACAGCAGTGTTCCTAGCTCGGCCTGAGTGCTTCCGTCTCAGATCTGGGGGTGGGTGAGGAAAGGCACTTTCACAAGACACTCAGCAAAACTTTTGCCTGTGTCTTAGTTTCAGCAAGGACTGAACTTTTTAACAGCTATGAGGTGTTGGATTCCTTCATGACTGCAAATCTGTTCATAAGGTTCTTTCCTATGACTGCAAATCTTTGTGGGTTCTTCCCTGTCAAGGACTAAAAGCAGACAAGCTAGTGATCCACATGAACTGAAGCACCACCTATGACCTTGGACTGTCTCTCCTTGCAGGAGCTCAACCTGACCAGGCTGAAAGCCAGACAGCCATGTCTGTGTTAAACACTGTGTTAAACAGTGGCACCAATGCATTATGATACAGTAAGACTGCCAAGGGCATGAGGGAAATGGGCTAGTACTAGCCTGTGGATGGACAGGGCCTCTGCAGCCTGAGAGGCATGTGACTTTGGTAGATTTAACTTTAGGACTAAAAAAAATCATGAGCCTTGGAGAGTTTTCATACAGGGGTTGAATAACTTTTGAGTCTCCTCGTGTGAGAAGTAGCAGCCATGAATAATTCTGTTTTCCTGGTCTCAGCTCTCTTCCAGGTCTCCTCCTCTGTACCATATCTTGTCCAAAGGAATGCAACATTAGTCAACTGAATCTTCATAATCTTTTCCTGATGATTGATTTTCTTGATTTCTGCAAAGGTTGTGCTTCACCTGTGCAGTTATTTGGCCATAGGACCCAACCTCCTCTACCTCATAGCCTTGTCCGCAAGGGATGGATTTTCACGTCGGGTTGTGAACTGAGTAACATCTGTTACTCATGATAAGACAAAGGCAAAAATGCATTCCTCTGACACTTGCTATTTGGAAAGTCCTTTAATTAGCCCTGTGCACTTCTATGAGGCTGAGGGGCCTTAGAGACTTTTAAAAAGAAGCATGCTGAATATTTCCCTTGCGATTTCCCCCTTATCTCTGGAAGCAACCCAGTCTTATTACTTATTGATTAATCAAGGCATTTGTTTTGTGACAAAGGTTTCAGCAAAGCACTGAGCAGGAAAGGAGCTACACTGAAAAGCAACAAGACTGAAAATATGACCACAAAAAATAAAAATTATTGATCTCCAGAAATATTTGCCCTAACTGGGGAACAGTAGAGCCATGGAAAAAATGATGTGGCTTCAGCTCACCACTGAAGTTTCTCTTTGATAAGATGGGAAAAGTAAGTCAGAGGGGTGAATGATGGTGAACCTCTGAGAGCACTAGGGTAAAAAAAATATTAAAATTTGGAAATATCCTGAAGCCAAACAAAGATTGCAAAGTTCCCTAGATGATTTGTATGCTGTGCTTAGTAACCACTCACTGCTAGGAAAAAGATCAACAGTACAGTGACAATTGGATATTAAATAGAAGGGAAATGGCATGGATACACCATGTCCAGATTGCTAGAAATATACGTATGAAGAGTGGAGGTGGAAATAATATTTTCAGTGCTTGATACTAGGATTTTCTCCCCCCAGTAAAATTTGCCTTACTTCTTCTGAAAGATATCTTCAAGGATTTTTAGAATAGCCTCAGACATTTCCCTTGCTGCTGGTCTAATGCTTCCTAATTTCTTTTTCCTTGCTTAGGATCTCCTCATGACTCCTCTAACCCAACCTTTGGTTTTCACATATTTTATTTCTCACAGGACTCATATTTTAAAACTTGCTGACACACTGCCAATCTGGGTGCTCATTTCATACTCTTTCCTGCCTGAAATGCCTAAGACAGTAATTTTTTTTTATTCTTCCTTCACACAATAACTTCTGCAATAAGACCTTGATACTTTGTCAGAGTTGCTAG